GTACGGTTTTACTTCATTTCAGTATTTGTTTGATCAGGCAAGCTTTTGGATGTTTTCGGTGACGCTGCAGCAGAACAGGTAGGGTGGGGCTTCCAAGTGTCAAGGGTGGGATGCGCAAGTCAAGGGAGTGCAGCATGATAGGGCTCACAGGGGTTATGAGGCAAGGCTGAACAGAACCAAGCTGAGTTCAGTAAGCTTCATCCCTCCGTTGCGCCGCGCGCCAGCTACCCTTTTCTGGAATTGCTTCAATCTGGAAGCTTGTATTCATGATGCACCGAGACGGTGCGTTGTGTTTTCCTTTGCACGCCTGTTTCCTACGCAATCGTCTTTGCGTCATTTGAAGTCGGTAACTTGCAGGCTGAAACGAGGCCCGTGACAGTACACATGCCTTGCGGCACAGCGCTTGCGGCACCTCGTTTAATCCGGAAAGCCAGGCTGAACAGGTTTTGCAAATTACCGTTTCTCGTTACTCATGGTATTCTCGTGTTTGGACGACAAGACACCACTGAAGCATGACTACATTTCTTGCTCCAGGAGAGTTCAGGAGCAGCCTGGCTGTTCATTACCTCACGTTAGACCTGTCAAGTTTTGCCTTAAGAGTAGAGTGGAACGGGGGGTTGATCAACTGCAAAGGATGTTTGTTGACGCATGGATTGATGCTTGATCGTGGCCGATCGTATTTCGCAGATGCTCATTTGGAGCAAGACCGGCAATCAACCCCCCAAATGTCTTGAGCTAAAGTAGGATGGAATCGTGTTCCAAGCGGTGGTTGGTTGAAGTGATGCGACGCTAAGCTCCCTCCATGCGGATCCTGAAGCAGCATCGCTGGGAAGCTGTCAACTCCGTCTGACTCAGCCAACTGCTTGCGTTCCGAGACTTGAGGGCCTTCATGATGCGAGAAGGCAGCAAGGCATGCCGTCCTAGCACATTCTCTTGGCCCTGACGGGGAGTTGTTCCAAACTAGCGTTTCTAGAATCCTATGAATCGCAAGCAGAGATCCCTGGTATGACAATCTTATCGACCCGATAGACCTCCTGGAGCCGGTGGGTTGCTTTGGTTGTTCGTGGCCTCAGCCCACAAAAGCCACAGATGCTATCTCGAGCTGACGTGGTGCGATTTCAAAAGCTGTACAGATGCGAAGCCAAGAAGCGCCTGAAAAACTAAGAGCATCTGGCAGATGAGATGCTGCATTGCGGGCTGCTCCCCGCATGACGGTGTATTCTTTATGATGATATTTATGTATATATATATATATGTACATAATGTAGATATTCCTTGTGGATGTAACAAACTATCTCAAAGCTCTTGAGCCCTTGCCAGCGCCCTCTTGCGGCATCCCTCGCCAGAGGCCTTTCAGGAGGCAACGAATCATTCACCTACGTTACGAAGCTCTGCAGATGCATTGTAGATGCATGCACTGCATTGCACCACTTTTTTAAGGGCGCCGCAGCCATGGCGATGAGCCGAAGCAAAAGCCGAGAAGAGCGCTTAGGCAATGACACGGCATACGCGTCGGTGGAGCCCGACGATGGAGCTCTTCGTCAGCTGCTCAACGCTGTTCGTTGCCGAGTTCTGTTGCCTCGGAACAAAATGGGTGTTAGGGTGAACAGGGCTTGGGTTCAGAGGTTTTAGGCGGTTCAGGACGTAGCGAACTTGCAAGCAGAACCAACCTGGCCCAGTTCATTCATGCTTTTAAGTTCAGCAAGCGAAGTCGAGGCTTTAGGGGGGGGGGGGGGGGGCTCCTCATTCTGAGCACATACCTGGTTTGGCCACGATCTCCCTGCAGCCCCCAAGTAACCCCCGCAGAACCCCTAGGGCCTACCAGGGTAATGCAGGCACAAGAACATTGCCAGTCAGATTAGTTGAAGATCCTTGTAGCAAATATGAAGCCCCTCAGCCGCTCAGCCCCTTGTCAAACCCTATAAGGAGACGACATTCCTGCTAAGGCCACTATGTATGGAACATAATGCATATATAATGTATCTGTATATGTATATATGCATACATACTACATATATATATATATATTATAGCACATTCAAATTACTTCGAACAAACGCAATAATCTAGCAATACTACACTTAATCACGATGAACCTGGGTTGTATGCATGTGTTACAACGCAACGACGATTACAAAACGGGGAAACTCATTTTCCCTCATTGTTTCGTTGCCTTGCAATAGGGAGAGGATCCCTGAAAACCCTAAACCCTAAACCCTAAACCCTAAACCCTAAACCCTAAACCGTGGCTCTGCCTTTCTTGCACCTCAAGCTCTGTGGGGCGCGGTCTGAAATTCCACAGACCGCGGTGCCGGCTCGGAGCTCGGTCCTTCGCGGTTTCGTGCTTAGGGGTTTTAGGGTTTTAGGGTTTAGGGTTCAGGGTTTAGGTTTAGGGTTTAGGGTTTAGGGTTGTAGGGTTTTAGGGTTTAGGGTTTAGGGTTTAGGGCTGGGCTGTTGACCCAATACCAATGTGGGCATTCTTTGCAGGCTTTTTCCTGTGTGTGAGAGGAGGCAGTCGAGTTGGCAGCATGCGTTGTATGGATGCTTGCTGAGGACATCGGCGCCACATCCGTAAGAAAGTCTGGAGCAGGAGGGCTTGGCCAAGTTGACGCATGCCCATGACAAAGGGGTGACAGAGCCGGACTGCATGTAGAAAGGGCTGGCCATGTATCCCCACTTCTGCAGGATTTTGGAGTGGACCCCTTAACCCTAAACCCCTCAATCCGACCCCGAAAGCCTTTTGCAAGAGGCTGAAGAAACCCCTTGGTGTACGTTGTTCTGCGTACTCCGAAACTACTTGTTGTTTGCAGCTTAGAGCTTTGGTATGTTTAGGGTTGAGTGCTGTCTAAACCCTACAATACGCCATTACAAAGCCCAGATAAGCAATCACTGAATGAAACCCGTAAACCCCTCTGAGCCCTGCAGACGAAACTTGTAGCCACATGGATGTCAGTGAGCCGCCGACCTCCTGGAAAGCATGGAAGCCCGAGACATTTCAGAATGCCTGCCGCGCCTAGAACCCCGAGAAATGCTGAGTAGAAGCCCCAGAAGCCAAAACCCAGCCCGCATCATGCCATGCATCCACGAAGGGACCCCCTCAACCCCAAACCCAAAACCCTAGACCCCAAACCCTAAACCCTAAACCCTAGACCCTAAACCCTAAACCCTAAACCCCTAAACCCCTAAACCCCTAAACCCCTACACCCCTACACCCTAAACCTTGAGCTGCCAGGCTCTCCGGATTCCTTCCCAATGCTGGATCTCGATGAAATTACAGAGGACGCCTTGCTTTGGCACTCCAGACTTCTGCCTTCAGGGGCCGTGGGGTTTTCCTGGGGAGGGGAAGATTGCGGGTGAATGACCTTAGGGTCTACAAGGTTACGGATTTAGGGTTTCAGGATTGGAGGGTGCTCTTGGGTTTCAGGGGTCCAGGGTTTGGGGATGAACTCGGATTCGAGGCTTCCCGCCTAGAAAGAATTTTGGGGCTAAGAGGCTTTGGGGATCTGCAGGTTTAGGGTTTGCAGATTGCCTGACGGGTTTCTATCAGCGTTCCCGAACAGAAATCCAGCGTCTAGGGATGAAGGTTGATTCAGGCTTGTAGGATGTGAGTTGTTGATTAGAGAGGGGCATTGTCAAAGTTCAGGATTTCTTGAGGACGTTTGAGGAATTGTGGTGCAAGACACCTCTTCGTGAGCGAAGCAGTCAGGGATTTGTGTAAACCATGCGAGTCCTGGAGATATTCTGAGTAGGCTCTGGGCCCTAAGTAAGCCCTCTAAACTCTCCAGCCCATCGCCATGCAGGACATAGGGCTTGGACGCTTTCAACTACTGCTGCTTGCCTTGAATCCTTCCCCGCAGACTCCTGCTGGTTTCGTCCAGCGTTTGTTGCGAGTGGCAGTCGCCCTCGGCAAATGGCCATTTGCAGGGGTTCGATTCAGCCCAGTTTGCCCAAAAGTTCTGCCTTGAAACTCAGGCAGCAGCTTCTAGTCAGTGGTGTGAGGCTGCCCAGCACTCGGAGTACATAGCTGCCATCGAAGCTCTTCAGCCATGCTCGCTCGGGCTTCTGTCCTTTCCTGCTGATGCTGAGGGCTGATGGTGCGGAAATCCTCATCTCTTCGGCCGTTCTTTCCATTCTTCAGCAGGACGAAGTGAAAGACCTCTTGATTTCGTGTAAGCGCAGAAGGAGTTAGTAGCGACAGCAGTTTCTCAATGCTTTGGGCTAATTGGCTAATTGGTTCGCCTGGCAGTTAGATACTGTGTGCAGTAGCCGGCCTGCAGAAGCGCCTATTTAATTGCCAGTCTTGCCCCCTCATATTCCATCTACAGTCAGAATCAACACTACCCCAAGTACCCTAAACCCTAGACCCTAGCCGCTAGATGCCAAACCCCGTAAAAACAAGCAAGGCCCCTATATGGGTTTACGAGATAATAGTAGGTTGACCTTACAAAACGGACCCCAAGAATCGAAGGTACCCCTAATTTCGGAAACCCCCAACATCACCTCCTCTGGACAGACAGGAGTGGGAGCTGTCCCCAGGGCTGAAGGGCCGAGTTCCCAGCGAGTGTTGGGGTGTCCGAGAGTCTTGGAGGATTGATCAATGTGCCCGCTTTTCCTGGATGGTCACTTCTCTAAATAACTTGGGGCCGGAAAAAAAAGCAATGCTGAGGACTGACCATATATAGGGGCACTACTGGATGCATGTATTCTTGAACCCAGGTCATCACTGGCAAGTCGTTCATGTTTCCTCGTGTTTACGTGCATCCGGTTGCTGTAGCTCTCAACCCCAAACCCTCGGCAGGCTGCATGATGTCGATCATTTTCATCGGCGTGTTCTTTGGCAACCTAGTTGCGGGCTGAGGGGAATCCTCGGGCAAGATGATTCGAGAGTTCTGTGCTTCTCCAGAATAATCGTTTCGAGTAGTTTACATCATATTCTGTACTGCAGTAAGTGTGTTGATGAGTTGTAGAGTCGAAAAGTTTGATCGAGCACACCTGCCGAGATGGGTGGGCCAGCCGCCGATGCCTACGGCCGACGGCTCGCAGTACTTTTGGCCTACGTGCGTGGCCCAGTCTCCGAAGTCGCACCCGCAGTAGTGTAGCGAGTATTTCGCCGGCGCCAAGCGTGCAGAACCTTGGAGCTGCTCCGCACCCCCGCCCTCGGCGAAACTATGCGAGGGAGCACCAGGCAGGCCATAGCAAGTCAGCAGCAGCGACTGGGAGTTTATATCAAGCACAATGACAACCCCCTCGGCTCACTTTGGAAAACCCTTGTACTCGGGACTCCCAGCAAACTGATGCGTGGGAAGGTGTCCCACGCAGAGAGGCCCGCAACGGCCTCCACAACCACCCTCAACGACCCTAGCCCATCTCCACACGATCTTCATAAGATTTATAGGTTTCTTATGATGATGTTTAGTTTTCTCTTTGTGAATATTCTTATCATGATGGTCTGGCAGCTGCCGAATGAGCAAAGCCGCCTCTCTTTCGTGGCAAGTGATTGCCGAAGTTAGGTGTCCCCTTTCACGCCTTTGGAAATGGCATGCTTTTGGCAAGCCCGACAACCACTCTGGCTAGACCCTAATTAAACCCCTAACCCTAAACCCCTAACCCTCAACCCTAAAGCCCTAACCCTCAACCCTTAACCCCTAACCCTAAACCCCTAACCCTCAACCCTAAACCCCTAACCCTCAACCCGAAATTCAAACCACCAACCCTAAACCCCTAACCCTCGACCATAAACCCCTAACCCTAAACCCCTAACCCTCAACCCTAAACCCCTAACCCTAAATCCCTAAACCCCCAAACCCCTCCGAGAAGCCGAGTTTGGCTTGGTTGTCTGCGGCCTTTGCTCGGCCATCAGCGTTGGGTGGCGGCCCTAGCTCTGCCCCGAAAAGACGGCGTTCGTGTTGCAGTTTAGGGTTTGAGGTTTAGGGTTGAGGTTTAGGGTTCAGGGTTTGGGGTTCAGGGTTTGGGGTTTGGGGCTTGGGGTTTGGGGTTTAATTAGGGTTTGGGGTTTAGGGTTTAAGGTTCAGGGTTTAGGGCCCAGATTCAACGGATAGGTATGAGTTGAGTATGCCAGGGACCACATTCGGGTGCATGAAGGCGCCGGGGGGGTTTCATGGCACTCTTCTTGTGCAGCTCAGGCCAATGTCCATGCTCGTAGCGCGCTTCTTCTTCGGGTCGTCAGCTCAGATGGGCAGCAGCGGCAGTTGCAGAAGGCTTAGGGGTTTAGGGTTTAGGGTTTAGGGTTTAGGGTTTAGGCTTTGATTAATTGAATCATCGAGCTTCGGTTGGTGGTGTGTTGGTGCTCCGTGTTCACGGTATTACATTCCTTCGTCACAAGACGCAAAACCTACTTCTCCCTGACACCAAAGTAGCTGTGAAGGCCTGCCTGAACTGCAACCGCAAAACCCGCACCCTAAACCCTAAACTTGCAACCCCCAAACCCCCTAAACCCCCGAAGCCGCTACACCCCCTAAACCCCCAAAGCCCCTAAACCCCCAAACCCCTAAACCCCCTAAAGCCCAAACGCCTAAGCCCCCCCCTCCCCCCCCCTGAACCCCGAAACCCCCTACACCCCTAAGCCCTTAAACCCATCAACTCACCGCGAGGCTCTTCTACGGCTTCGGGATGGGCCCCTCCCTGACCTTGCAGGTCCCCGTGGCAGAGTTGAGGGGTTTGGGGTTTAGGGTTTAGGGGTTCAGGGGTTCAGGGGTTCAGGGGCTCAGGGGCTCAGGGGCTCAGGGGTTCAGGGTTTAGGATTTGGGGTTTCGGAGTTTTCAACGTGGGGTTTCTGGATAGGGGTTGAACTAAAAACCTTTCCAGGGTGTGGCTAAGGACGAGGTGCCATTTGCATAGAGAACGCCCCAAAGCCCTAGAACCTCGAAACCTTAAGCCCGAAAACCCTAGCACCCCGAAAACCCCCGAAACACTCCTAATAACCCTAAACCCTAAACCCCTAAACCCTAACACTCCCATCCCAAATCTTGGCCTTCCTGGAGTTCTGCGTGGCGGAAGCGCCCCTCACACCACAGCGAAGCAAAACTGGTGGTCTCTATTGTAGGGTTTAGGGTTTAGGGTTTAGGGTTTAGGGTTTAGGGTTTAGGGTTTAGGGTTTAGGGTTTAGGGTTTAGGGTTTAGGGTTTAGGGTTAGCATTCTCATTCAATTTCCGGCTCCTTGTATAGTTCAGGGCAAGGCTGAAGGTCCATAACTTTCATCTCTCTTGATTTTCACACATCCTGAATCCTTATAGCTGAGGGCACCAACAATCAACAGGCGAGAATTCAGATCAGCTCCCCAAATCTGACTTTGGCGTTCGGAGGGCGTTGCAAGAGGCATCTATCAGCATGGGCATGCATTGTGAACAAGAGTCGGGTCTCCTATACTAAACCCTAAACCCTAAACCTCATCGCCCCTTTCAAGCCTTCAACGAGGTTGAAATTTGTCCAAAAGCCTGGCGAGGGCACATGGTCAACGCCGGCTCCTCAGGGAATCTATAGTTGGGGGTTTCCGAAACAGGGGTACCCTTTTGGGTTTAGGGTTCAGGGTTTAGGGTTATCTATTTTTGGGGGTTCCAAGAATAAGGACTATACGATTTTTGGGGTATATTAAGGGTACCCCAATTTCTGGGAATACCCATATTGATTGGGGGCAGGTTGGCTTTGACACGATCAACCCGCGCTGAGGTGAACAACTTTTTCTTCACCCTAGGTGAGGTCTACGCTGCCAGGCCCCTACTCTGAGGGAAGGTGCGTGGGCCCTTAATACGGTTTCTCACCACCTGGTTTATGCAAGGGGCACCCTTTCTAAGGGCCCTAATATGAAGGGACCATGTACTTACATGTTGCATGACTGCCTGCAGCGGCATCCGCATCATGATCCCATGCTCCCCTCAGTCAAGGCATACTCCTCCAAAGAACCCCCTAAGTTCGGCCTTTCTTTGGCCGCACGTAGAATTTTCGGCTTGGTGGTTGTTAAGGTGTTTTTTTAGCTTTACAAAAGAAGCCCAAAACCCTGAATTTCATTTGGTAGCTAAGGTGAGGGGGGGGGGGGGGGGGTAGTAATTGGCTCCCCTACTAGGCATGCTGAGAGCCACCGGATCGAGGCCTGGCTTCTCTGGGCCTTCTTGAAAGACCTGAAGCAGACCAGCGATGAGGAGTGGGCTGTTGGCAATCCACGGGGAAGAGCTGGACTGAATGCCAGACACCCCCTCCGCCCTGCCCCCCTCCTCCCCACATCCCGAAACTAGTTTTTTTTGAACAACACCCCGTTTCCCGTCTGCCTTCTTGCCCAGGCCCAAGAAGCCCGAAACCCTATGTGAGAGCAACCCCAGTTTCCCTTTCTATCTTCTTATGAATCCTCGACAGTCCGGGGTTCCCGACGCTGGTTGCAGCTCTTCGTAGTGGATTTACCTGTGGTGTTAATTGCGCTTTGGGGGATTGGACATTTTAGAGAGTTTAGGACCTCAAAGCCAATATTAATTGCTTGTAACAGGGCCGCGGCCCACACACGCGACATGCCCCGTTACAGAGGGTATGTATCAATGGCCGGGGTTTTGCGACAGACCTGTTTGTTGTTGTCTGCAGGTTCCAAGTCTTGCTTATCGGGGGGTAAGTGTTCGTTCAAGAAGCAAATATATAATATATGTATCCCTGAATTTGAAACCCCTTAAACTCTTAAAGGCTGAGTATGTGGAGAGGTTCCAAGTCTTGCTTATCGGGGGGTAAGTGTTCGTAAATTTCAAGAAGCTGTGAGGGTTCCAGGTCTTGCTTGTCGCGGCCAACCCCACTCAGTCCTCAACCAGGGGGGGGGGGGGCTCTCTAGGCTTTAGGCAAAACACCCAAGAAGCCTGAAACCCGAAATTCCCGAAAATCTGTGTTCATGCCTCCCGGCGCGCGACATACCCCGTTACAAGTGCGTTACATACCCGCGACAGACCAAACACAGTCCATTGCCACATTTGCGTAAGCAACGTGCGCCCCATATAGGCGCATTATCGTCCGACCCCAATGCGCCCTGAGACCCGTTTTTAGTGCATGTATATGTATAAAGTAATATAATATACATGATACGAACGTGCGCGCGACAGAGGTCTGTAACAAGCCGGGCGTTACAGAGGTCTGTAACAGGTGGGCGCGGGCGCGGGCCGCGACAACCGGGGGTTTAGGCACACAGCCATATCTACATTTCAATATGCTGAATACATTTTATGCACCGTCCGGAGGAAAGCTGGCGCTACGTCACGGCACTGGCCGTCAGTGTCGGCCTTAGGCCTCAGGCGCAAGCCAGCGTGGACGCAGTTCTCATATCCGAGTTTAGCCCACCAGCTTCAAAAACCAAGATTCAAGTCCCCCCCCCCCCCCCCGCCCCCTCCAAAAAAAACAGAAGTGTTGCTCACAATCGTGGGCGAAACTTAAGCTACACGGAATGTGGGCGGTGGTCCGTGCTGATGCTCCTTGTGAATGTTTTGGCGGTGGCGCCTTCGCATCAGGAGATTCGCCTGTGCGTAAGGGGGGTCTCGTGTCATTCAACTAGGACCCAGAGTAGGCCCTTATTCCCTTTTTGCGTTTATATAGGTTCCCGTATAAGCCCCTTGAAACCAGAACGGGCCTGGATTTATTCCTGGTTACTCTTGGGTCTAGTCAAAGCATCAAAACAGCCTCAAGAATCACAACGGATGGTCGAAGTTATATAATGCGCCAGAAGCTGTTGTTCAGTGAGATTGGTTTGGCTTCATGGAGTCATGGTGATGTCCGGCTTTGTTTTACTTCTGTGCAGGATGGTTTCTGGCCGGGAAAGATTTTTCAAGGAACAGTTCTCGAGAAAACTGCCCACCGGCTTGCGCAGCCATCAGATGCTTGATTCAACTTGATTGACCTGGGATGACCTGGGCGGCCCAAAGAGGCCATGGTCAAGAGTCGCGACATCTCGCGACCAGTGATCAATCCTGTTGTCACCGAAGACAAAATTGTTGGTAGCAGTCGGACGAAGGGTTCAGCTGGCAGAAGCGACGACACCTGACCACCGACTTCGTCTAGGGGTGCTGCTGTTTTTTGTCAGCTGAGTACGCCACATGTTAAACAAACTTACGTAAACAGTGCGGTGCTGACATGTGGCAGCTCGGAAACACGTTCTTTCGCAGAGTGGACACAGAGTCGTCACACTTCAGCCAGGGCTGAGCTTGAGCTACTGTTTTGTAGGAAATCATAGGATTATGTCATCATACGATTATAGAATTTTTCTACTCTATCATTCTGTTATTATATTAGTACATGTCTTCATTCTCGTCTTACTATGTATTTTTGTATTAAGTATTAGATGGTACATGGTCTAACATTATATTGAGATATAAGACGGCATATCATATTTTAAATCATGTTATATGCTGGTTCGGAACCGATCTATTATTTTCATTATATGTTGTATGGCAATTTTTACATCTGACATACTATACATGACATATGATGTGTTATCTAGCCCGTATTGTGTATGTTATGTTATATGTTGTATATGATATGTCATATGCTATATCTAATGGGTATACATATATATATGTATAATATTATGCGATTGTACTATATTACCTTATACTTTCTTTTCTTTTATTTTGATACTACCAAATCAATATAATATAGATGTGAATATGAGTATATATGTATATGTATGCATATATATATATATCATACTATAGTCCATGCACTTTATACTGTATGGTATACAACATAAAACAAAGCTATTTATGTATATACACATATAAGTGCATTATATAAATATGCTATATATTGCAGAGCATAGAGTATAACGCACATAAACGCACGGCCAGCTGAGGTCCAGCGCTACTCATCCTCCCTTTTGCTGTGCGGGGGTCCCAAAAGGTCAAGAGTCGGCGGGGCTTACGGTTTTGTTGCTGGTTCGGCGCTTCAGACTTCAGATTCCGGCATCTTTTTGGTTCCTAGGATGGCTTTGAGACATTTTTTGGTTTTGGGTTTTGGTCGGACTGTTGGTATGAATGGTCTTAGTTTGGTATGACTGGCATGCCGTTCCATTCGCCCCCACGCTTGTGGTGGCATGTGGTGAGCACGTCTTTTCTGCTGCTTGAAATCTACAAGTTGGGATGTTCCCCCTTATACTAACAGTCCTTAATAGGGATTTTGGTACCTTCCCCCCCCCCCCCCCCCAAATTATAATCCCTTTTAAGGACTGTTAATATAAAGGGGGGAACAACCCCAACCTACAAGCCTTTCAGCTCGAAACTGACGTGCCGACTCCCCTAACATCAAGACAATCTATGCAAAGGGTAAGTCTTTGCAAGGGGACTAACAGCAACAGCCTTGAACTCTTGCCCCCTTTTGAACCTAAAGCCCAAGTGCCCTGAAACCCAATAGGTTTTGATGCCTAAAGCCCAAAATCCCGAGGCCCAATAGATCCTGAGCCCTAAAGTGCAATTGTGTGAGGCTGCTCTTGTACGAGTCGCCGCACTACTTAGCCAGCCGCCCAGAGTTTTGGTGTAAGGGTTTGTGGTTCAGGGCCAATATGGGGGTTTCCTATATTAGGGGTACCCTATTGGGGTCAGTAGTAAGGGATTCGTACTATTTGGGGATCTACGTCGGGGTCCCCCCCATTTTCGTTAAACCCCCATGTCAACTTGAGGTGCGTGCGTTGTCGAGAAAAAGTCAAGAGAGGACCGACCCAGCTGAATCTCAGGTTGTTTGCGGGAAGCACGACCAGGCCCTACACGTGGCGTCGAGCGTCAGCTGGCTCAGGGTTTCCCCCTAATATCCCCTAATAAAAACAGTATGGAATTAGAAATCGAGTATAAGCATACGTTAGTATAATCATATATAACAATTTAAGATATGTTAATCTTACACCCCTGGCGGGATCTAGAAAGGTTTTCCAGACGTTTGGACGGCGACAGGGTGGTTTTTGCGGAACCTCGGATGGGATCTTCACTTCGATCTTTCCAAGAGATCTTTGTTTTAGGTTTTGGGGCTCCCCTCCCAGTAGCTGTTGTAGTGTATTGCCGAAATGTCGCCCCTTCTGACCACGTCTGGACATGCGCACATCGATTCGCAGCACCTTTGGCTGAAAGCCGCTTTTGTGCCCTTTCCCAACGTTCAAGGCCGCGCTGGTTCGGGGTGTCGGGGTGAATGGAGGGGCGTATTTGTCATCATGTCGGGCATTTCGGCTGGTTTCGGTTTGTACAGTTTCAGGAACAATGGGATGGCAGTGTTACAAGGGATAGCATTGGTAGGCATGTCCACACTCCCGTTCTATGATGGCCTTGATGAGGTTCGTTGCTTGGGGGCGCCGTGCCCTGCATGTTCATGCTGGCAGGCTCCGTGTCTCGTTCCTTTGTGCTCATATCACGAAGATGGAGCGCAAGGCCTTCTGCAGGCCGGGAGGGCTTTGACCCCGGTGGCCAAACCTTCGGCCTGAAGCTCAAACGTCCTCTCAAAGTATCCCCAGGGATGCCAAGAGGCCCAAAATCGTACACCCTAAGACCCTAAACCCCTCAAGCCCTAGTCAGAGCCCTCTCAAAGTTTTAGGTTCAGGGTTTTGGGCCCTCAGGCTCGGGAGGGGGTAGGTTGATTTTTTAGGCTCAGGGTTGAGGGTTTAGGGTGCCGAGCCGGAGCCTTACCTTCAAACGTAGAAGGCGCGTTTTTTTCAGCCCTACATGTGCGGAACTCCGCAACGCGCCCACATCCCTGACGCAACGCCCCTAAACCCCTAAGCCCCATAAACCCCCTAAACTCCCCAAACCTTCTCGACCCCCCCAAGCCCTACACACTAAACTCCTAAAGCCCAAATCGAGGATCAACGATGACATCGATGCCATGGGGCCTCTCTCTGACTCCGACAGCGACATGCAGGCTCTCCCAATTGGGTTGGGGGGGTTTCGGGTTTAAGGTGCTATCCGGCATACCTAGGGTAGCCCCTTAGAACACCGGAGTTGCTTTATATTCCACCCCCCCCCCCTCCATTTTAAGGGCTGATGGGTTAGTGTACGAGCATATTAGAACACCAAAAGGTGAGAAAGGTATGATACTTGCATTGCAAATTTTTGAAGGTGAAGGTTTATTGCCAGCTCTCCTGCCTTGAGAAAAGCTCAGCCCACTATCTTTGCAGCCTTTAGGACCCGCGACCCTACGGCCTATAACCCCAGACCCTCAAACCCTAAGCCCAAAACTCCTGAGCTGCGGTTCATGGCTTGCAACTTAATAGTGTGTGACTGTGAGCCCTGTAACAAAAGTCCTCAACGCCCCGAGCCAGGAGTTCGATGCCTGCCGGAAGAAGGCCTTGGCGGCCGCTGCACGACGCCAGGGATCTTTCGCGCAGTCCTTCCAGGTGCTGGTAGTTCAAGGTTTAGGATTTGGGGTTTAGGGTTTGGGGCTTAATTTGGGGTTTATAGTTCGAAGGATTCCGGCTGAGTTTTCCAGGCTTTGTAGAGATGCAGCTCGGGCCTTGGGGTTCATGTACGCAGGCCCGCAAGGGTTGCTGCGGGAAGGCCCACCAGACTCTAAGCCCTGTTCGAGGCGAAGGAGACGTCCCGTCCGTCTGTGAAGAAGACCCAGCTCCCTCCTCCAACCAGGTGGGTGTCCAGGGTAGTGGAAGGGACAGACCAAGCAAGCTCAGAACAGCAAACTACTGTAGCAGTGCGAGAATACTGAGTGGCTTTGTAGAGGTATTTGCTTCTGCAATGTTCAGCGAGGGCGGACAGTGACCAAGATGTCAGAATGTCGACGATGCAACCGGCCGGTGCTTGGTATTTATGCACGGTCGAGGACTACTGGACGACAGCTGTGGGCAGACATCGCCACAGATGATGAGGAGCCTGATGTAAGCAAGAGTTGTGGCCCTAAACCCTAAACCCTAAAACCTAAACCCTAAACCGTGGCAGTAGCAAGTCCAAGTGTCTGTATGCGAGTTTCCATTTGCCTGAGGACGGCTTCCCACGCTGGCACAGCCCAAAGCAGTCGGCCGAGGCCTCCCGACCACGTGGATGTTCTGAGCAGTGCTTCGAACTTCGAACTGGGTGTGAGGTCCTCCTGACATGGGTTTAGGGTTTCGGGTTTAGGGTTTAGGGTTCATGGTTCTGGCGCAGGTCATGAAGCCTTTGCCTTTGCCCACACCTGTGCCTGCCACCATGGACGACGAAGGCCGGGCGCCCAGCGCTCGTGGTCTGTAGCTGTCGCCTAAGCCCGCAAGCCGGAAGCTTGCCTTCTCAATCTTATACTGGGAAGCTTGTGCGGTGTGAAATCGCCAGACCCCACAGCTCCCCACAGGAACCCTAAAGCACTCCCTCCTCCTCCTCCTCCATACAAGAACAAACTCAATCTCCAAAAGCCTTGCAGTCCCCAAGCCTCGCTCCCCCCATCCCCCCCAGAACAAAATGAAAACCCTAAAACCCCTAAACCCTAAACCTTAAACCCTAAACCCTAACTGTTCAAGCAAGGATTGTCCTGGGATCCCATTGGCCTGGGCTCCCTGGAGCCGCTCCGAAGCAGAAGCCGAACGCTCTGTTTGTATCAAGGTGTTTACATACACATGTATATATGTGTGTGTGTGTGTGTGTGTGTGTGTGTGTGTGTGTGTGTGTGTGTGTGTGTGTGTGTGTGTGTGTGTGTGTGTGTGTGTGTGTGTGTGCGTGCGTGCGTGTGTGCGTGTTGTGCGTGTTGTGCGTGTTGTGCGTGTGTGTGCGTGCGTGTGTGCGTGGTGTGCGTGGTGTGTTTTGTTGTGTGTGTGGTGTGGTGGTGGGGGTGTGTGTGTTGTGCGATGTGGGGGGGGGGTTTTGCGATGTTTTGTTACTCATATATATATATATACACACATAAAAATATCAATACATAAATAATATACATTCATATATATATATATGTATACATGTTTGAGTTGTTGAAAGTTTTCTGGCCGACGTTGGGGTTTAGAGGGTTATGCAGTTATGCAAATTTTGCCATCAAGGCCCAGGGGGTTAACGAATCAGGACATGAAGCCTTCCTCTGCAGATGCCCAGGACCTGTGTCGCTGATTTGCTTTGGAACAAGATGAACGTGAACAAGCCCGACACTTCTGCAAGCTCGCCAGGCTACGACAAATGGCAGCCTAATGGCACGTAAGAGTTGCAATAAGCCCTCGGCCGCAGCGAGCGCCACAATGAGGTCCTGGAGCACCACAGCCACGTCAGCGGACGCCGACGTGCAGGATGAGGAGCCCATCGTTGTGCTTTCCTGCTCTGTCAAGTTGTGCCCATCTGTACACCTAAACTTGGGATGTTCCCCCTTTTACTAACAGTCCTGAAGAGGGATTATAAAATATAATAGGGGGTACTGTAATCCCTATTAAGGACTGTTTTTCTATAAGGGGGAGCATCCCCAACCCCAAACCCTATAAACCCTAAACCCTAAACGCACGGGGCATGCTAAGGGCCGAGATTACATCGTGCCCAGATTACATCGTGCCCTCACTTCTGCAGGACCTGTCTCCGTCTTCGCAGTCACAGGCTGCCAGTTGCCAGCATGGCCAGATCTGGAATATATAACATGCAACATGCACTGTACTAGGCTAATATACCAGAAATGATCATATAAATAAAAGAGAGAGAGATATATATATGTATATGTATATACATACTACAATCATATGCAACATTTCCAAACAGGAATATTACAAATAAGCTGCTTAACTCCCCCCCCCCCCCAAACCCCCAAACCTTTTTTTAGACCTTAAACCATTCGCAGCACTGGCCGGGGGGGGGGGGGGGCCCTTAAACCTTCAAACCTAGCGGGGGGGGGGGGGGGGGGGGGGGGGCAGGTGTAGCACGGGCGGCCGGTCTCTTAAACCTTCAACCTCAAATCCTAACCCCAACCCCCCAATCACACAAAACACCTTAGACCCTAAACCCCGCCAAACCACACCCACACCACAGTGGGGGCGAGAGGGTAGGTCCTAAACCTGAAACCCTAAACCCTAAACCCTAACCCTCCAAGCACACCCACAACACACGGGTGGGGGGGGGGGAGGTAGGGATCCAAGGGAGGAGGGGGGGGGGGGGCAGCCCGAGACCATATATATATATATATACATATGTATATATATATATATGTGTATATATATATATACACATAGAGTGTATAGGAATATTTAAATGAACAAACAAATAAATCAATATATATATATATATATTTATATATATATGCATACATACATATATAGGTCAGCGCTGGCCGATTTTGCTGCACAGGCTCCGCTCAGCATCAGCTCGGAAGAGAGCACTGCGCAGGCCGAACTGTTTAGGGTTGAAGGAGTTAGGGTTTAGGGTTCAGGGTTTAGGGTTTAGGGCTTAGGGTTTAGGAGGGCAGCACTGAGCGAAGCAACCTGATTGACAGATTGGCGTTCTCTCCTCCACGGATGAGTCGGAAACGCACCTTGGTTCTGGTCTGAATGGCACTTGCCACCTTGCGGCTTGGTTTAGGGGTTTAGGGTTTAGGGTTTAGGGTTTAGGGTTTAGGGTTCAGGGTCCAACTGTAGTTTCGCGTGCGCGCCCTTTTCAGGCACAAGTCCGTTCCAATGCCGACCATGATGCAGGACGATGGACAGGGTGCGGTGGCAATGTCATCCTCTGCTTGTCTCAGCACAGTCCGTGTCTCTGCTCTTCTCTCAGGAGCCCTTAAAAGAGGCTGGGCAACGCACACCAGCTGCCCTTGTGATGCCTGTACCCCAGGCGCGGAATAGCTGAGAGCTTGAAGATGCTCTAAAAAAGGGTCATGAAGTGTTCACTCATCTTCTCTGAATGACTCCTGCAGGTGCAACAGACTGTGATGGTAGCAGTGCCGGCGATGCATGCTGCAGTGCCTGCACTGCCTGGAGTGGCTGCACTGGCTGGAGTGCCGCCGATGCCGTGCATGCCGTTCGGCATGGGCATGCTGCCCTACATCATGTCCTCGACCCCTGAAGGCATTTCATGGGTTTGTGTCGCTCGAAGATGCCAGGATCTCGCTTTCAAAAGTTAGCTTTGCGACGGGGCCGGGTTCACTACGAGCCAAGGTCGCATGGGCTCCCGACTGGATTCCAGCATGGACCTCCCCGGCAAGCAAACGCCCAGCGGAGCTGGGAGAACCTAGACCGTTTCTGAAGATCTGTTTTTTTTTGGTCTGGCTAGATCGACCCGAGACTGCTGGCCCCTAGGCCCTAAGTATTTGCAAACGCTTTCAACACCCCTACACCCCCTAAACTCGGAACAGCTGAGGAATGAGGAAGTCGCAACTCGGCTCGGGGTGTTCAGCGGGAGCGGTTTTCGGTTCACCGATGCTATCCTGAGCGCTGACCCTCTGAAGCTAAGCGCTACAAACCCTAATCTGGGGGGGGGGGGGGTTTAAGGCATGTGGTGCGTGGGTTCATGCCAGTAGCATACGCGCATCTCAAACCCATGGCACCTCTTCAAAACAATATACAGCAGAGGTGTCTTATCAACGTATGGGGTGTTGACGTTGAGTTTCAACAGTCATGCAACTGAAGTTAGCATCAAATACCCCCCCCCCCCCAAAAAAAAAGCAAAAAAAAAAAAGCAACCACGTTCTAGAAATTGGGTTGAGCCCCAAGGCGGCCAGTATCTGGTGACCGATTGTTTAGAAAACCCAGAATTTTGCCGGCGCCATGCTGGTGCGGTGCTAGCGCCAGCAACCCACTGTTTTCCATCCCCAAAACACGCCAAAGACCATGTTTGTTGGCAAGGTGTGTTCAGCCCCTGCACTGCCCTACACCTGTCAAAGCCATGATTCCCAAACCTCTCGGCTCGAAAAGGGATGGTTGGGAGCACGGTTACCAGCCCCAAAACGCGCCAGCACCGCGTATAGTTCCAAAGGATTCCCAACCCCCCTCACCAGGGCTCGAAAAGGGCAGGAATTCATCATGGTTTCCAATGTTGCAATGCTAACGTTCTGCACAAGCATACTTACATTCTTAATTACACCGACCGCTGCAGCACTAGCGCCACATTGGTGTTTAAGGTGCTGTACTCGGGGCGCTGCAAGATCATGGTGCGGATGCCTTTCTTCTAACAACCCAAGAAAAGAATCTTTGAGAACCCACCACATGCAAGGTCACCATGCCCATAAGCCCCAAATCCCATGAACACTCAGAAGCCCCAAGCCCTAAACCCCAAACCCCAAACCCTAAACCCTAAACCCTAAACCCCAAACCCTAAACCCTAAACCCTAAACCCTAAACCCTGGACTGACATATCCCGAACGGGTCTTGCAGGTGCGTCCCGCTGTGATGCCCTGCCCGGGATTCGGAGGACTCGGACGTGCGAACGATGTGGTAGGGTAGTTTAAGTAGTGAACTTAGGGTAGAGGGCTTAATTATTGGGTTTAGGGTATAAGGCTTAGGGTGTAGGGTTTCAGGGTCAGAAGCCCAAAAGGATTCCTTACAACAACCCAATTGTCGGGCTCTGGGGTTCGGTTTTGGATAGTTCTCTACATGAAGTCTTCTGCTGGGTGCCCTGTCATACAACCCCCCCCCCCCCCCCCGGCGCGAAACAAGGACCTTAATGTAGAGAACTGGAGGAAATCCCCTCAGCACCGCTGTGCAGGACCGCCTGTGGGCCGATCGCATCGATTCCACCAGAAGCTCGGTAGGACTGCAGAGAATTTCGCACGGCCTCTTCCCACCCCAAACCTGAACCCTAGACCCTTTCAGGACATTTTTCTTGTAGTGATCAGCGTAACCCTAGGCCCAAAAATCTAAGCCCCCTACCCCCCCTCCCCCCCCCCCTACCCACCCCACGACCAACCGAGGAAGAACGTCACCATGGGAGTGATGAGCGATGACGCCCGGACCTTCACGAAGCGGTACAACAAGGCCGACTTCCTGGGGCACCCTGTGGATGGGGCTCAGGGTATTTCAGGGTTTAGGGTTTAGGGTTTAGGGTTTAGGGTTTAGGGTTTAGGGTTTAGGCGGTTTAGGGTTTAGGGTTCAAAGGCAAGCATAGCCGACCACCCGACAATCTAGAAGTTTGCTTATTGCTGCTGGGGCAGGGCAGACTGAGCATCGTCTGCGAGAACAAGGTCCACTTCCAGGGAACTGTGCGCTACGCAGCAACTTGTCAGAGAGATTTTTCCTAGAGAAGCTGCGCTGAAGAGTCCTTAAGCTCTAAACCACCCTAAACTCCCAAACGCAGGAATCACCATCGAATCCTGAACTTTCCGAAAGCAGCCAACACATTATTCGATCTCCCGAAGCCCTTGTGCAGCGTGAGGTTCAGTTCACGGATGGGGAGCTGTGCAGTGCGGATGGGGCCGCCAAGCTGCAAGTACACATGACAGCACGCCCATGTCCCTGAGGCAAAGGGTTTCTCCCGAACATGGTTTTCCCTGTGCCGCCACGCTGGGAAAACGAACCTAGGTGCTGAGTAGGTAGCTTTTATGAGAGGTGCTGCGAAATTGTACGCTGACCTGAAAAGTCAGCGCCTGGGAACTTTGGTGGATCTTGACGCCTCTTTGGTTCACCTTGGGGTTGCGTATCTTGTGATGATTGTGTGATGTGTCTGCTCTCTCTCTCTCTCTCGATCTCTCTCTCTCTCTCTCTCTCTCGCTCTCTCGATCTCTCTCGCTGCCTCTCTCTCTACTGAGAGTCCACATTGGGCCCTCAGGTGTGTTAACTCCCCCTAAACCCTAAACCCTAAACCCTAAACCCTAAACCCTAAACCCTAAACCCTAAACCCTAAACCCTAAACCCTAAACCCTAAACCCTAAATAAACCCTACACCCCAGCCCCTCCCCCAGTAGAGTTAAGGGGCGTCAGTACATGCCTGGCGCAAGTCCTTGGTGCCTTCAGGTCGGCTTCATCCTCTCCTCTGATATTCCTTGCACCAAGAGCCTTGGCTGGAAGAGGGTTTCGGGTTTAGGGTTTAGGGTTTCGGGTTTCGGGTTTAGGGTTTTGCTTCTTGGGTCTTAGGGCCCCCTGAGTGATTTTTCAACACCAGCCAAGGAACATTCAGAAGATCGTGTCGATCTTTGCCAACAGAACCGGCCGTATCTGCAGCTTGGCAGGGCGATCCAGCAAGTTCGAGGGCCTAAGGTTTAGGGTTGAAAGGTATACGCTAGCATCGTAACCATGTAATAGAAGCTTAGTCCAGAATCTACTAAAAAATAAGAACCTGATCGTCTAGTGAGATGCTGTGCTTCTGGTATAGTTCCATGCCCAGTTCACCTGAGTGGTCCATGCCTTGCGTCTGCGTTGAGTCTTCCAGGCATCCGGGTCCATGACGAAGTCGAGCGATGCCCGCAACGAGTGAAGTGCTTGGAAGTGGGGGATTGGCTGGAGGTGGACTGCCCTGGCAAAGATGGATTAGGGTTTAGGGTATAGGGTTTAGGGGTTCAACAACAGAACACGCCGATTCATGTGAACTGAGCACGGCACCCGCCTTTGCCCGATAGATCATACTTAGTTGGAAAGGTTTCGTGTTGGCTTTGCTCCTGTACAGCCACGTTCACCTGCTTTGTTTTTGACAAGACGTCTTAAGTTCTTTTAAGAGTCGTGCCTGATAGCTGTCTGACATGTAGGCGCTCCCACCAATCTCCCACCCAAGCTTGTTGTCAACATGAGATGGTAGATTACCGCGCAGGTACATGCAGATCTCACCCAGCAGATTGTCAACTTCACCGTCTGGCCCAAGGCACACCTGTCAGCGTCAAGCGTGCATATGTTCCAGCAAACTACGCCTTGATAGCTGCGCCCACCCCCGCCCTCCCTACAGTAAGCCTCCACAACGCCGGAACCCGATTGTGATGCGGGCCGAGGACGGCTCTGAGCCCTCGTTCACCACTGTCTCCTTCAAGGAAACCTTGAACCAGGTGGGAAGGATTGGGAGCGGCTGAACCCCCAACCTCAGAAAACAAAAACAATTGGGGTCAATGTGGTGCTCAATTGGCGGGCTTGTTTTCTCAGCAGCCTTGTACGTGTTCAACGAAGCCGAGGGTGTAGACTCTCTGCTGCAAGCATGGGACTCCAGACACATGGCCATTGAGAGCCCAATTTGGGTTGGTACAAGTACCCCGGCATGGCGTCTTGACTGATGTTCCCTACTTTAGGAGCATGCCTGTCGGAATGACGAAGTGAGTCGATGGGTTCAGGGTCCCTAAATCCAAAACCCTGAACATCCCGAAGCCCAAAACCCCTCACTTCCGCCTGAGGCGCGTGCACGCGGCGTGACTGGCTTGCCACGCAACCCCTGCGGCCGCCTGGCTCAAGAAAGACAGGCTTCCTAGGGTTTTCAGTTTAGGGTTTAGGGGTTTAGGGCTTGGGGTTGAGGGTTTAGGGTTTTGCTGAGGGTTTAGGGGTTGAGGGGGTCAGGCTAGAAATCACACGGATCTTGTCTCTAAAGGTTGAAAGTGCCCCGACCTAGTGTAGGGTTTAGGAACACCCTTAACCCAATTTAATTGTTTTGGACTGTTCAGGGCTGGGGAAACCCTACCCTGCAGCCTTATAAACCCTAAAACCTAAACCTGAACCCCGTACCAAGTTTGCCAAGAGGGGTTTAGGGATTTTGGGGGTCTAGGGTTGAGATAGCGGTTCAGGGTTTTGGGTGAAGGGAACCCTAAACCCTAAACCCTAATAACTAATAACTAATAACCCTAAACCCTAAACCCTGTCTCAACAAGGCTACCTGGCCGTGGTCATCAAGCATGTTGGGGTGTCTGTGGCGCTGGGCTCATGAAGGATGAGGCTCCTTCGCGTGGTGATGGGTTTAGGGTTTAGGGTTTATAGGGCATAGGGCTTAGGGTTTAGGGTTTAGGCTTTAGGGTTCTTAGGGCCTGCAGAGAATCTCAGCCCCAAAGCCCCCAAACCCGCAGCAATCTCCAGAAGTAGCTAGTGGTGTTTCGGACATCTCTCTCGTTGCATCCTAAACTCTCGAAGCCCTACTGGCCAGAAGGCCGTTTGCTGGCCGTGCTGTGCGAGACCGCCGACCGCATAGGGCCGGTCTCACAAGTCTTAGTTTCCAGGTAGTGGGCTGGAGGCTTAGGCTTTTAGCTAGGGCATTGGCCGAATTTGTGGAATCTTCTGTCCAATTTTTAACAGAGTTTCGGACCAAGCGTCCCACACTGGTTTCCGCCTGCCGGACGAGTTTGATCTGGGGCGTGACCAAAATTTATGGGGCCGATTCAGGTGTCTCTTTTCACGTGTACGCTCAAAATATGTACTGATGTCTCCATATACGAACACATACATGTATTTATATATATATAATATATATATATATATATATGTATAGCCAGAACAGTTCGGGGTAAGAAAAGGGGCCGATGACTTCGACGGGCCTCCAAGTTTGTGGGGAGGAGCACCCGCGGCACATTTTTCAGCCTTGCGCTGCGGCTCCCCAGCCGCCGGGCTTCCTCACGGATTTTTCATTTTTCCAGACCGCTGTCGATTGTAATGGTCCCGTGTCGCCTAAACCCTAAACCCTAAACCCTAAACCCTAAACCCTAAACCCTAAAACCTAAACCCTAAACCCTAAACCCCATATGTTGGCTGCGTGCTGAGGGGCAGAGCATGTTGGTGGAGCCTTGAGTTGCGTTTAGTGAGGCGGTGGTGTCATGTACAGAGCCCGGCACAGGCGCTGTATGCTGGCATCATATGGCCAGTTCTGGAAGTGTCCCCCTTGCTCAGTTGGGGCGCCCGCCCTAAAAGGACTATTGTTTTTGGATAGCTGGCCATATGGCTGCCGCACGCACGGGCAAACACCAGGATCATGCTCTGGTTTACAAGTTCTTTAAGCAGGCTTAACTTCTCGACTAAGGAACCCTTCCCCCATAACCCTAAAGCATAGGCGAAAGCCTGCGTTCTTCCGCAGCATGAAGTGAATGCTGAGCTCGAGATTTGGCAGCTCGTGGCTTCGTGGGGTTCCGATCTCAGGGGTCGTTTTTGGGTTATAGGGTTCTTAGGGTGCAGGGTTCAGGTGGTTTTAGAGTATCAGGAAGAATCTGCCTGCTACACGCCTGCCAACTGACCGGTGTCACTCAAGCTGACGTGGGCTGAGAAGTCACTGGCCTGAACCTGATGTAGCAGACGTAGTGCAGCACCATTGCATGATTCGACTCTTCGTTTGCAGCCCCGACAGCACTGCGCAGATCATGCCTTCGTACCGCATGATCCGTAGATCGAGGAGCCTTTGAAACCTCGAGTACACGCGAATACACAGACGAATTCAACACAACCAAAGTGGTGTGCCCGCTTTGCTTGCCCAGCAAGCGTGGATCGGTGAGTTTAGTAGATTCAGTAGATCTTTTTGTTCTATGCTCCACAGATGCCTGCTGACAAGCCATGGACCTTAACAGCCAGCACACAACACTCCTGAAAAAGCTGAGAGGCTCGTGGTTTTGGATGGCAGCTTCTGCGAGGAGCAGGGCCCGCGCAGGCCTGCGAAGATGCGGGAGGGAGCTTGCCCTTACGCTCTTCAGACCGTGATTCCAGCAGGGGTGGCCATCATCCAGCTGCGATGTTGGAGCCTCACACCCAAAGGCAGAAAAGGGAATCCAGGGTTAAAGTTTAGTTATAGGGTGTGAAGTGTAGTAATACTCGGGGCCTGAATGATTAGGACAGGGTTTTGAGGGTGATTATAGCAATGGTATACTTACAAAGGGACCCTAAGTAGTAATTATTCCGACCCTACATTACGGCGTTCAGGGCTCGGGCTGGGTTCAAGTTTCCCCTCCAAGAGTCGGTCCACATGGTCAGTTAGTTCACAGATCATTGTCCCCATGGCGTTGAATATGGAGGTTTTCCGAAATTAGGGGGTACCTTGTTGAGGTCCTGAATATAAGGGAATCCTACAATTTGGGGGTCCAGATTGGGGGCCCCCCTTATTTTCGCAAACTCCCATGTTCAGTCCGCGGTGTGTCTGAACTGCAAGCCCCAGCTCTGAAGCCCCCAAACCGCAAGCCCCTAAACTCCAAAAAGCCTGTTTAGGGTTGAGGGTTTATAGAGTTTAGGGTTTATAGAGTTTAGGGTTTAGGGTTTAGGGTTCCCCAAACACCATGAAGCCTGCGCTCGCAAGCTCCATTTTGTTGGCTCGGGCTCGTCGGAGACAGTGCTCGAAGATCAGCCGAGGTGGAGCCCTAAGTGGACGGTTCAAAAAGGGTTTGGGAACCCTGAGCCCTAAGTAACCCTAAATAACCCTGAAGAACCCTAAAAGAAACCCTAAACCCTGAACCCTAAACCAGGATTTGAAGTGGGGTTTGTAGTAGCCGACAAAGCACCTAAACTGCAACCCCTACTACAAAACCTAAGCCTAAACTAGTCCAATCCACAGTGTTTGTTTTGGCAAGAGCACCAGAAAAGCAAAGGCCAAACACGTCGAACAAAGCACAAACAAACAAAAATGCACACGCACACGCACACGCACACACACCCACACCCACACCCACACCCACACCCACACCCACACCCACACCCACACCCACACCCACACCCACACCCACACCCACACCCACACCCACCACCCACACCCACCACCCACACCCTCCCACCCACCCACCCACCCACCCACCCGCGCACGCGCACGAGCACGCGCATGCGCCCCCGCGCCCACGCGCCCCCGCGCCCCCGCACCCCCGCGCCCCCGCGCGCACGCGCGCGAACACGCGCACGCCCATGCGCACGCACACGCGCACGCGCACGCGCACCTACGCACGCACACACACACACACACACAGAGCAAGCAGAGTATCCAGACACGTCCTGTTCTTTGAATGCAGCTCAATTCTAACCCAACTGAATTGGCCGTGGACATAGACATCTATTCGGGTCTGAGTGTACGTGACTAGCATCCGAAGCCACCACACTTTCTGGCAATCCTCACCCTAGACCCTCCTAAGGTCCCAAAGCTTTGTCATACAACAATCTCCACCCCATAACTGGCAATCACCAGAAAAGAGCAAGTTGAAGGACAAGGCGAAAAGTTCATTACCACAGAAAGTCGTTTTTTTGATGTTTTTGGTATCTCCTGTTCAATCTGACGATAAGAAATCTAGACAAGCTGGATGTCACATGAGACCGCGGGTGCAATCAAACTCTCTTGGGATCTTGGCAGTATAATGGGACAGTGAACAACTGTACCAAGGTTTAGTTCAAGTGCAACAAGCACATGACCTTAAATCAAGCATTCACCCCCGGATATGCAATTCTTAGATCTTTCTAGTTTAGCGCCCGAGTCGACAAGCAAATTCTGAATTTCGCTATCTTAGCTTACGGCACCCTCCCACCGTGCCCCCCAACTTGAAAAGAACCGTACACCCAAAACACCAAGCCCAATAATTGGGCTTGGTGTTTAGGGCAATTATTGGGTTTAGACTTCTGTGGAAGAATGCTGGCCATACATTAGGACCGGCTCTCGGTAGGCTTGCAAAGCATCCATTAGGGAACAGTGACAGCGCTGGATCAGAAACACCTGGATTTCGATGAGGGCACCCTCGATTTCTGAGGCATGAAGCGCCTCCGCCTTCTTTTTCTCACCTCGACAATTTGAGGGTACCCTGGATTTCTTGTCCAATTTTCCGAAGGTGAGAACCAAGTGCCTCAACGCAATTTGCTTCAGGCCCTGAAATCAGAAATCCTGCCCCTCAACTTCTTAATTCGGGGCACAAAAAATGCTAAACTGCCAACGAGGAGATTCTGATGTCAACGCCTTTGCCAGCCTGCCGCAGAATGGTCCCCCCCCCCCCTCCTTAAACGCACATCTAGCTCCTCAAACATACGAAATCCACTCAAAAACACATCCGTCCCCTCAAATTCTTAAACGCCACACATCCGGCCCCTCACATTCTCAATTTGTCCCCCCGATCATGAAATGTTGGTCCCCAGGCTGAGGGCACCTTCAGTT